ACGCCTGACAGGCAGGCCGGGATGTCAGGGAGAACCTGGTGTTGGCTCGTGCTCGCCAGTTTTCCCTGAGTAACAGTGGGAATAAATTTAATTTCTTCCACCATCCTGTTCTAGGCTTGTAGCTTTCGCCACTTCTTTGTGATGTATACAAACATCTGGGTGTATACAAACATCTGGATGTACACAAACACTGGGATAGTTTGCTTCTGATGTTTGGCTTTGACTGAAAGGCCTGTAGGCACTTCCTCCAGGAGGAAAGACTGTGTGTCAGTGTCAGCAGTACAACTCTATTGAAGAAATCCAGGTGTTCTCTGGAAAAAAAAAAAAAAATGGTGCCGAAACATCCCTTGTCCTGGCCGGTCAGTAACTCCCGAGTCAGTGGTGCCGCCCTGCGTGCCTGGGAAGAGGGAGTGGACAGCTGGAGTAGTGATTTCCGCAGGAGGGACTTCTAAGGGCAGGCAGTACCTGCAGTAACTCGTTTTTTTAACTTATCCCAGTCTTTTATTTATTTGGGATCATAACACCTGCCCTGCGGCTAGTTTGGTGAGCGCACCTGGAAGTGTCGTGGAGATGGGTGTGCTGAAGTGCCACCTCCCGTGCTGCCAAGGCTGCCGCTTCCGTGCCCCGTGCCAAACCAGGCTTCGAGGCTCCCGTCTCTGTGGCTGTTCTGGGCTGGGTGGGTACGTCCATACGGCCCTGCAGCATGGGTGGCTGGTTTTCGAGAGCGGGCACACAGGAGTGAGTTTTGATGGGATAATGCCAGCTTGGCAGCGTAGCCATCACTCGGAGCACCCTGCCTGCAAGAGCGCGGTGTCCTAGTTCTGTGTCATTGTGTACCCGATGTATAAAGGAGCAAAGTGGGCTCTGTGGTTCCAAGTGCCCTCTAACACAGAGGAGGAGCAGGCAGGAACTGGAAATACAGGTGTTTTCTGATTTCCTTCATCATGGAAGAATCTTTGTGGTCTGTGTAGTTACTCTGCACTAGCTGTCTGTCCAACTCCACTCCCCCTGTCACTGTGTGGACAGATGTGAAGATGTAAAGTTGGGGAAGCTCTGCTTGCCATCTGTAAAACTTAGTAAATTGTGTCTTTGAACAGAATGAAGCCTCGGGCTTGTTTTTCTAGGAAAATAGCCCAGAATAGCTATTCCTTACCGCCTGGAAAACACAACTTACTCTGACAAAAACCATAGCGAGAGATGAGCTGCCACCTCCTGGCTCCAGAAAGCTTTGGGCTAGTGCATGTCTGCTGGTTCCCTGGGCTGGACAGCCTGGTTTGCGTACCCTACCCCAGGCTGGAGGTTTGGAAGGCTCAGGTGGGCTTTTTTTCTTAGCATTCTTGCTGAAGAAAAGCAGCACTGGGCTGTTCAGCAGAGTTGTCATAGCACGCTACGATACCATCCTAAGGAACCTGCTGGGACGATGGTAATACTTACATTGACTCTTTTTTTTCTCCTAGCTTTGGTAAATAAAGATAGCTCTTTCAAGTATAGCACGTTCTTCATAAACAATTCGGTATAAATTCGCACACTAGAAAATAAAATTGTTGCCATCGTAGGGGTTCCCTGGGGAAAGGCTCAGATTAGGCTCCTCCAAGGAGCTGGGATGGTCTGGGGCCCTGAGTGGCGCAGGCATGCCGAAGCCCTGCGGACCCCCCCTGCTCCGGGTCGGGTTCACCCGGAGGCTGGGTGGAAGGAGGTGCTGAAGGAAGGAATGAGATTAAAGTGAACTCTGCAAATGTGCTGGCCAAAACCGGCTGGGTTTGTTTTTCGTGATGTCACTGCTGTTTTAACATCCGAGTTACGGAAACCACTTACAGTAACTTTAACAAGGCTGTAGTTTCCTGTGGGCAAGGTATTTCTGAAGGGTTGCTCCTGTTAGGGTCCCAAGAAATTGTGCTTAAGCATAACAGACATTTCTGGGGGGTGAATTGTTGAAAGAAAACTGGAAGCTAACTATTTTTAGAATCTTTTAAAAATACACTTTCAGCCTTGTAATGTTTTCATGGTAAAGCTAAGAAGGATCCTTAGAAGAAAACTAGCTCTGCCCATCAACAAAGTAAAAAGTATTTACAAAGCCAAAATTGATGGTTACAGTTTTGCCTACGATTCTGCAGCAAGCTATGCCACAAATACCCACGGTCTGAACAACTGCTCCTTCTAAAAACTTGTCGTTTGTATCTCTCTCTGTGCTACAGTGAGCAATGGAAAGCAAATAAGAGTACCAGATGTGTTTAATGGGAGGTGGAGGAGCTTGTTTGATTAGATTAGGGCTTCAGCTCGCCTTTATGCCCTTTTTAGGCCATAAGAATTCCTGACACCGCGTTTTAAAACCTGATTTTTAGCACGTTATACGCAAATGTCATATATGCTGCGGATTTTTTTTTGTAGGGAATGTTTCTGAAAGGCGTTACCTTGCAATCTGTGTAGTACAGACATGCTAATCAGTGCCACCATCGTAACTTCTTAAAGGTGTCTCTTCCCCTTGCTGAAGTGAAGACACAGAAATAGTGGGGGTTTCTTGCTCTGCTTCTTTATTTTTTCAATTAGCATGTGTGAACGCTGTAGCTCAGGACTTGAAACGGCTACTTCAATCATATAAGAACAAGTGAGACTAAGGGCTATGACCTGAACATTAATTAATGCATTACAAAGGATGAGTAGTTTTCCAATGTAAAATACACCAGTGCAGTACATAAAAGGTAATTAATTCTGGGTGACAGCGTTTTACAGCGATTCATGGAGAGGAAATAAAGCCTGCGTGAATGTGATGTATGGTTATGCAGTGCTGCTTTCTGTCAGAGTAAGGGGAGCATTATTCTGCAGGATGCTAACTACCCGGCTCCATGTAATTACCTGTTGAAACTACACCTTTGAATATCTGAATGCAAATGGGCATGCAGAAATGTGGTAAATAGCAGTGTGTGGGTGTAGGATTCAGACGGCGCAGCCTGGTCACACACAGTGCTGTGTAATTGGCTGCAGGAAATGTTTTTCTCTTATGATAGCGCATAATGGTTCAAACTGGAAGGAAAGGCAAAACATTCCAGCTCTAGGAATGAGGAGTTTGCATGCAGATCCGTGTGACATCAGCTGTTATGCACCTGGAAAAACAAATACCACGGGACTACGAAAACCGTAGGAGGTAGCACGCTAGACCGTGGCACCCCTCGAGTTACTTGTGGAACGTGGCTTTGGAAAGCTGTGCTACCTTCTGCATTTTCTGCAGCCATTAATCTCTGCTGTTCTCAGCTCCGTGGCCTCTAGCAAAAGGTCCAAGCTCTTCCAGCGTGATTGGGTTTAGTTGGAGGAAGCCAGACACTGTTCTTTTGACATAATTTACCATGAAATTGAGATTTTCTCCTCGTTTTTAGAAGAACTTTACCTAAGCTGGTAGTTCAGCTTTGGAATTATGCCCTGTCAGTGTCAACTCTGGGTTCTAACTAAGCTCTAGTGTTTGTATCAGTCGTGTTTTCTTAAAAGCAGACATCCTGAAAATAGCTGTAAATATAGTCCTCGTGCAGGTGTGGGTAGGAGCTGGAAATTCACCGTTCTTGCAAAGGCAACTGCTAAAACCAGATTTACTTTACAGGTAAACCTGGCTGAGTGGCATGGATGAACCCGTATGTGCTCATGTCTCTTCAGTGTCTCTGAATTAAAATATCACCGTGTGTCACTGTGACAGCCAGGGAGACCTTTGTTCCTGTAAACAACTGAGGTGAAGGAATCCCGTAAGCAGGATTCCGTGGTATAGTATGTATACGTGGCCCTCCTTTTCCTTTTGCTTAAGAGGCAATAACTTCAAATTGATCTGTTCCTGAAGTACAGTGTAAGTGCAGGTTTGAAGTGATGCAGTTGGTGTATGTGGTGGGAGCATCTGAACTGGCATGTGGGCTGCTGGAGAACTAACACTGTTCGTATGTCTGATCTCTGTGTTTCTGTGGAGCTGAGGAAGGGGTTAGAGAGCCTAATGAATATGTGGATCTAGCTTTTGCTCCCCGAATAAGTTACGGACACTTGCTCACAATCGTTCAAGTTACCTTTTCTGTATGTGTGATCAACTTGAAGCAAGAATTTGGCTGAACAAAAGGAGAACCCCAGAACTTCTTACAGAAGAATGAAGCAAACTTGTTGGCTTTGACACTGTCATGATTAACTGTTTGGGTTTTTGTGTTTTTGGTTTTTTTTTTTTTTTCCAAGGCAAACGCTCTAAAATTGTGACTGTTGGGGGGAAAAAAAGCTCCCTGTGCTCTCCTTGTCTGTGAGAAGTACTATATAAACTGGACATCTTTTGAAGGACCCCAATTTCCTCCAAGTACCGTATTTAGTGAGCAGTTTTGCAGTCTGCTCTGTACTCTTTGGTAGTAGGTTTGACTGGAGTGCTGCTTCGCAGGAGCTGTATTCCCTCAGCCTTTCATCAAGGTGTTTTAACTTCCCTCAGCCATAACAGAATGTTGTTTCCGTGGTAGGGCTGTAATTAACTCAGAGGCAAACTTCCTTTGTTCCCTCCATAGTTAATATGCAGGGATATGAGTCAGTAATAGCCAATTAGCTTGTTTGTAATGAAGCTCTCCATTACTGCCCTTCAACAGCAGCAGCGATAATAAATACAAAGCATCTTAACTCTTCCTTTGACTGCAGTATCTGTAAAAACCGATGGCGTTAAGCTGGACTCATAAATAGGAGGTATCGTGGGTGTCTCCTCCCTCCTGCCCTGCTCTGTGGGAATTGCAGTCTTGGTTTTTCTTGTCGAGAAAATTGGGTACTGGCCTTCATCTGAAAATAGATACAGCTTAGTTATTGCTGGAAAAGGGCACGGCGTGGCAGGATTCTTCTCAGTGAAGAAGCAAGGTGTAGATAGCTTCCACGCACTTCTCTTGTAGAGTAACAGGTAGATAGGAATACTGGATGAAGAAGCTTTCCTTTCAGAGATGTATTTGGAGGTTGAAGGTATTTTGTAATTGAGATATTCACCTGAACAATGGTTCCTTCTTTTTTTATAGATTTGTTTAAGAACACGACTTGGGGTTTGAAGTGTTTGAGCAACTTGCTGCTGCCCAAGTCATGACACTCCCATTTCGAAAGGACTTGGACAAGTACAAAGATCTCGATGAGGATGAAATTCTTGGCAAACTTTCGGAAGAAGAACTGAAACAACTGGAAACCGTTTTGGATGATCTTGACCCTGAGGTAGGTATTGGCCAGGAGAAGCTTTGTTTTTTTCATTTGTTCAGAAACTGGTCTGAAATAAATTGAGACGCTTCTTTTTTACTTGAACAATATACTTCTGGACAGAATTTTTTTGTAGTCCGCTAATGACCTTATGTAGAGATACGTATGTGTATATAATATTTCAACAGTTATTTCCTGTTTGCAACATGAATCCAACTGCAGTAGAGGAAGATGGAAGGAGGCATTGTCAGGAGGAGCTTTCTGGGATTTATTTATAAATAAAAAATTGCTCTTAGTTGTGTTCTTGAAAAGAAAGTTTATTTAGAAAGGCCTGTTCAACTCTCCTGTTTCCGGTGTCGTCTGGTAAACAGCCCTTTTGGCATCCATTTTTATTTTGTCCTTCTGTTGGAGTTTGATGGAAGAGGGAGGCTGCTAACCTCTTCTACAGATTCCTGCTCCTGTATCTGGTAGCCTGCATCTGTTCCTGTCCTCGTGCTGACTTTGCAGAGAGGAGACAAATAATTACTTCTATGAATCTATGATTCTACTTGGCTCCTGAACGCTTATGTCAGCGTGGGGTGTTGAATAAGGAGTATTTTAGCCTTCTGTTCTAAAGCGCTGGGATATGTTCTCTACTGATATTGCAGCGCATGTAAGAGACCTGTGTTTTCACCTCCTGATTCTCTTCTCTTGCTTTGCTAGGACCAGGGTTAAGTTTAAGCTTGATGTTCAGGGATCCATTAAGAATATTGTGATAGCCTGTTTTGTTGCACTGCAAGATATTCTTGATATTTCAGTTGTCTTTGGCTTTGTAGAAGTTTTAACAGGAGAACTGGTGAAAGTTCCTGGTCGGCTTTTATGACAGTCTGAATTGCTGTGTGTTCTGTTCTTCCCATATTCTTAATTTTTTCCTGTTTATTTTTTTCTTTAGCTGAAATATGTTGATGATAGCAAAAAAACACCACCACCCCCCCACCTGCCATTGAGTCAGATCAAAAGTAGAAATACTCTGTGTTAAATGCTGGACAGTAGTATAGGCAATTGTCTTAAAGACAGAAACAAGTAAATTTAAGTGGTGGAGGAAGCAGTCTCCTTGCTGAATGTGGAAACTGTAAATAACTCAGCTTTATTTACTGCTGCTCCTCATTTAAGCAGTGTTCGTTCTAGAAAAGAAATGCAAAGTAACTAGGAAGTCTAGGGCTGGGAACTATTGTACTTCAAGAATTGCTTCAGTCCTATTCAGACGGTGGTGTGCTCTATTTTTAATGATAATTTTGGTATCTGAAGAATAGATTACCTTGCGTCTGCCCCTACCCCAGAAAAAAGGAAGCTGGCAAGGGATCAAAGATTGCCTAAAAAGGGCGATGTGTCAGGTTTGAACCTTGGGGGGAAGGAGGAGGATGAGGGAAATTAAGCAGGTGTTCTCTCCAGACTTACTGAGCTGCTGTTGTTTGCTCCACGTTGTTTTGCAGAACGCGCTCCTGCCTGCAGGCTTCCGACAGAAAGACCAGACTGCTAAAAAGGCTTCAGGCCCCTTCGACAGGGAGCGACTCCTCGCCTATTTGGAGAAGCAGGCTCTTGAGCACAAAGACAGGGAAGACTATGTGCCTTTTACGAGGGAAAAGAAAGGTAACGCTGCCCTTTCCCGCGTAAGTGGTTATGAGATCTCTGGACTAGAGAGATCCCTGGACTAGAGAGGCCAAGTGCAAGGTCCTGCA